ATGCCTCCCACCGCCTTAAATAAACCCCTTGGAATGGGAAGAGCAGCCCTCCGATGGGACCATCAGGTGCAGAGAGGGTCTGGGAAAACCCCCCTGGCTGCTGATGCTGATCCCCAGTCTTACCTGGGGGTACAGACCTGCTGTCATGACACACCCCCCCTCCTGCCACCTTGCATGGACCAATGCCGAAGGAGCATTGGTCACCTGAGCAAACCACGCCAGCATCTTCCCCGTGGTAGCAATTATTAATGCCCCACGGCCGGGCCCGGCAGGCAGACAGCGTGCTCTCCATCCCCGTGCAGTTCGTCTCGTCCATCCAGATGATGCCATCCCCTTGCCCGAACTGACCCCCCCCGGGGGCCGACAGTGCTCGCCCGCAGTCCAGCTGCCGGCAGACGACCTCAGCGTCCAGCAGGTCCCAGTTGTCATCGCACACGGTCCCCCACTTCTTGTTATGGAAGACCTCAACCCTGCCAGCGCAGCGGCTGCCATAGTTCACCAGCCGGACTTGGTCGCCCTCCGAATTACCTAAAAGAGGGAAATATGGGGAAGGGCCAGCACACTGCGACCCCCGGGTAAGGAAAACTGCCCTGACACCTTCTCAGGTCGTTGCACCAAGTACTGCAGGCTCATCTAATCACCGCAAAAAGGAGATGGCTGATCCCCAGTGCCTGCTGGCAGAGGGGCAAGAGGCTGCAAGCTGCACCACAGCAGCATCCCACTCAATGGCATCGGCACCGACCCCTCCAGGAGGACACCCAAAATTTCTCCAGCCCCCCAGACATCCCACAACCCCCTGTGATGAAAACACCCATGAAGAGGGCACATTGTTTAGGGCTGCTTGCAGAGATGGAAAATCAAGGTGATGGACCAAGACCCCCCCACTTCTCATGCTGTGTTGTTCCCAAGAGGGTTACCTGCGCACACCACGCCAGCTTCTCTCCCATGGTGACAAGTGCCATTGCCCCGGGGCTTTGCCGCGCATGCAGAGAGGGCAGTCTCCGTCCCTACGCAGCTCACGCTGTCAGGCCACATTTGCCCAGGTCCTTGCCCAAAATGGAATCCGACGGGTGCTGACAGTGCTCTCCCACAGCCCAGCTGCCTGCACACTACTCGAGCCTCGGCCAGACCCCAGCCCTCGTCACACAGGGCTGCCCAGGTGCCGTCATGGGTGACCTACACCCTGCCTTCGCAGTGCGTCGAACCATTGGCCAGGCGGAGCTTGGTGGCCACGGACATCTCTTAAGCTGCCAATGACACGCAAGGGTAGGTGCACCAGGAGAGCCACGGCTGCTTCTGCTCCAGCCTGAGCATCCTCCGTGCGCGGTGAGTGCCCAAACTGGAGACCGAGCCCGCAATGTTCAGCATCTTCTTAAAAGTGAATTTTGAGGGGTGGCTTTGCAAAGGGACTTTATTGCAAAGACACTTTATTGCAAAGTCACCTTACTGCAAAGTCATCTTACCATAGAATGATAGAAGAGTTTGGGTTGGAAGGGACCTTTAAAGGTCATCTAGCCCACCCCCCCCTGCCGTGGGCAGGGACATCTTCAACTAGATCAGGTTGCTCAGAGCCCCGTCCAACCTCACCTTGAATGTTTCCAGGGATGGGGCATCCACCACCTCTCTGGGCAACCTGGGCCAGTGTTTCACCACCCTCAGCGTAAACAATTTCTTCCTTATATCTAGTCTGAATCCACCCTCTTTTAGTTGAAAACCATTACCCCTTGTCCTATCGCAACAGGCCCTACTAAAAAGCCATCTTTCTTATTAAGCTCCCTTTAAGTACTGAAAGGCTCCAATAAGGTCTCCACGGAGCCTTCTCCAGGCTGAACGACCTCAACGGTCCCAGCCTTTCCTCATAGGAGAGGTGTTCCATCCCCCTGATCATTTTTGTGACCCTCCTCTGACCGGCTCCAACAGGTCCATGTCTTTCCTGTGCTGAGGGCTCCAGAGCTGGACACAATACTCCAGGTGGGGTCTCACCAGAGTAGAGTAGAAGAGCAGAATCACCTCCCTCAACCTGCTGGCCACGCTGCTTTTGATGCAGCCCAGGGCCCAGGATACGATTGGCTTTCTGGGCTGCGAGTGCACATTGCTGGCTCATATCCAGCTTTTCATCCACCAGTACCCCCTTCTCAGCAGGGCTGCTCTCAATCCCTTCATCCCCCAGCCTGTATGGACAGTGGGGATTGCCTTGACCCAGGTGCAGGACCTTATTGCAAAAGCACTTTATTGCAAAGTCATCTTCCTGCTCCCTGTTGCACAGCCCAAATAAAAGAGCTGAGCTACACATGCATCAAAAACTCCATCAAAAGCCCTGCATCATGGACAATGGGCGAGACAGACCTGGCCTGGCTGGATGGGGAGGAACTGGAGATGGTGAGTTATGCCTGCAGAAAGCTTTGCATGGTACAGCTTAGTTGCCCCCAAGGCAAACCAGGCTTTGGGTTAGGTCCTCAGCAATTCATGCATGCGACTGCAAACAAATGGCCCTTTGCTGTTCCTGCAGCTTAGCACTGGATTCACGGCAGCAGGAGGTGGGTGAGGGCTTTGCAGAGCGACTTGCCTGCCTGCGTGCTGCAGGTGCTTCCCAGCACTGCAAAGGGGATGCCGCAGACGAGCAGCCTTGGGGGAGAATGCAGGAGCCATCCCACGATCCCTTAGGAAACCCTGAAAGTCTGATGTTGACCCCTCTTGCACCTCGAGGTGAGTTACCTGAACATATCACTCCAGCATCCTCCCCGTGGAAGCAGTTGTTTTTCCCCCACGCGCTGGCCTGGCAGTCGAAGAGGGTGTCCTCAGTGCCGGTGCAGTTCACCTCATCCAACCAGATGGGATCGTGGCCCCTCCCAAAGTGAGCCCCGCTGGTGGCCGACAGCGGTGTGCCACAGCCCAGCTGCCGGCACACCACTGCCGCGTCCAGCAGGCCCCAGCCATCGTCGCAGACCGTCCCCCACATGTGGTTGTGGAGCACCTCCACCCTCCCGGCGCAGCGGTTGGGGCCATTGAGCAGCTGGAGGGTGCCCAGGGCGGTGATGCTGGAGTCTGCGGGTGCCCCAGGGGGAACAGTTGGAGAATGGTTGTGCATCGCTGTCGGTACAGCAGGAAGGGATGCAGGGATGGAGGCAGTGCACAGCTGGATCGCTGCCATCCTGGGCTACCTGAGCACTCAACGCTGGCGTCCTCCACGTGGTGACAGTTGTGTTCCCCCCACGGCCTGGCGCGGCAGTCGGAGAGGTCC